TTTTGCTTTTTTTTTTACAAAAAAGTTTCTTCTTCAAAAGCAGAAGTCTTTTTTCACTAAGGTGAACTGGGATGTTCTACTACATATACAGACAAAGGCTGTCTGCAAACAATAGGTGTGTGAGGTGGGGTGCTGAGGGTGACTGTTGTCAAGTTGGGATGAGTGCTTAGAGAGACACAGGGTGGAACAGGTAGTGTGGGCTACAACTCCTCATAGGCACTTACTGTGGGAGTTCACCGAATATCCCACAGAGCCTACAACCTGGAAACAACCTTTAAGGACCACGATTTCCAGGCCTACATAGTTGGAGTGATGAGCAAGCTTCCTTCACATGTGGTACAAATACAATGTTCTCAGACCAATAGAAGCATCATAGAATCAACAGGATGACCATCTTATTTCAAAACACAGTAATTTTCTCTTCAAATCAGCCTGGCCCTACTTTTTTAAATTAATAAAACGCAAATATTCTATCAACTTGTTCTGTGGTGGCTTGCGTTGTTGTGAAGCTGGAAGCTATGCCGCTGGCGTTTCAAGTACCCCCAGGTTCGCCCGGGGTGGGCAAAATATAACTGGGAAAGAGCTGCCTCCTCAAAGTAAAATCTCCCTAAATGACACGGATGGGGCAGTTTTGGAGACTTCCATTTGCTGACTGGGCATGCAGGAGAAAAGAGCTACATGCACCCACTAATAGTCAGAACACATGAAACGTATGAAGTAGGAATCTAGGAAAATTGGAAGTTGTTGAAAATGAAATGGCACACATGAAGGCAACAGTGAGCTGAAATGGTCTGGTAGTGGCCATTTTGGTGTTGGTAATGACCAACTGAAAAGGAATGGTGTCACACTGATTGTAAAAAAAACCACTTCAAGATCTATCCTGAAGTACAATTGTCAGGACAGGGTGACATCCATATGTCATACAAGAAAGACCAATTAATACAACTATTCATCACATTTATGGACCAAAGACTGTCGCCAAAGATGAACAATTTGAAGATTTTTACCAACTTCTACAGTCTGAAATTAATCAAAATGGACTAATAATTACTGGTGACTGGAATGAAAAAGTTGGAAAAAAAGAAGGATCAATAGTTTGAAAATATGGCATAGGTGATAAAAACAGCATTGAAGATGGCATGATGAACTTTCTGAGACCAATGACTTCTTCACTGGAAACACCTTTTTTGCAACAACATAAACAGCAACTATATACACGGACCTCACGAGATGGAATACACAGAGATAAAATCTACTACATCCGTGGAGACAAAGGAGAAGTTCAATGTCATCAGTCAGCATAAAGCCAGGGGCTGAGTGTGAAACAGACCACTAACAGCTCATATGTTAACATTGAAGCTGATTTAAAACAAGTCCATGAGAGCCGGCAACCTTGAGTATAACCCACATGAATTTTGAGGCCATCTATCTCAAAGACAGATTTGAGGCAGTGAACACTACTAAGCAACAAGCAGACCAGCTGCGGGATGACATCAAGAACATCATACACAGAGCATAAAATCATGAAAAAGACAGGAGAGAAAGAAAAGACAAAATGGATGTCAGGAGACACTCTGAAACTTACTCTTAAACATGGAGTAGGTACATGAATGAAAGAAATGGCCAAGTAAAAGAAATGAACAGAAGATTCTAAAGGGGCTCAAGGAGACAAAGTACTCTCATGAAATGTGCATAGACCTGGAGTCAGAAAACCAAAAGGGACAAACATACTCAGCATTTCTCAAGCTGACAGAACTAAAGAAAGAATTCAAGCCTTGAGTTGCAATATTGCAAGATTCTTCGGGCAAAACATTGAATGATAACTCAAAAGAGGGAACAAATCTTTACAGCAAGGATCTTTCCCACCCCCTCCATAAACACACAGAGTGGACAGGGTTGGGCAACTTGGACATTGGCTATCCAAAATGGGGGGGCTACAAAGGCAAGAAGTGACTGACTTACAAGCTTTCAAGAGGGAACCTAGATCCAGAGGGCGTGGAGGAAGGTAGACTCTCCACTGAGTAGTATCCAATCTGTCTAGGTGGGACTGATGAAAGGAAATGCAGATAGGTCGCTTGTGATACAAGGGTGAATAACTGTCACCAGGGCGGATTGCGAAGGCTGTAAGTGTAAAAGTAGGCATTTTGTGGCAAGGAGGGGAGTGATTAACTTTGCAGGTTAGGAGCGGAGGTCCCTGATACCATGAAGGCTGGAGAGCGGAGAGCGGGAGATCACCGAGATGGAGGCAGAGATGATGACGTGGAGAGATGGAGCAGCTGGGGACCCAGGACCCAGGGAGGGAGAGGGCCTGTGTGCTGATGACCGGGGTGGGGGGTGGGGAGGGAGGCAGGCTGGTAGAATGTACCCTTTTCGTTGATTGGTGATGCGTGGAGGGGATTGTAACCATGGCAATGAAACAATATACAATAGAATGAATGTAAAACTAATGTTCTCCCATGTACCCATGTAAACTACCACATAATTCACAATAAAACTTAAAAAAACAAAAACAAACATTGAATGATGCAGGAAACATCAAAAGAAGATGGAAAGAATACACAGAGCCACTGTACCAAAAAGAATTGGTCCACACTCAATCATTTGGGGTAGCACATGATCAAGGACCAATGGTATTTAAGAAAAAAGCCCAAGCTGCACTGAAGGCATTAGCAAAAAACAAGGTTCCAGAAATTGTCAGAATACTGACATCTTTCAACAAATGGATGCAGTGCTAGAAACACTCTCTCTTCTTGCCAGGAAATCTGGAAGATAGCTACCTAGCCAAGCCATTGGAAGGCATCCATACATGTATCCATTCCAAAGAGAGGCGATCCAATAGAATGTGAAAATTATTGAACAATATTGTTAACATCCTACACAATAACATTTTGTTGATAATTCAAAATTGGCTGAAGCAGTATATCAACAGTGACCTGCAGAAATTAAAAATCAGATTTAGAATAGGACATGGAACAAAGACTATTGCTGCTGGTATCAGGAAGATCTTAAAAGCAGAGATGGCAGAAAGATGTTTTTCTGTGTTGAGTGACTATGCAAAGTCATTTGCCTGTGAGGACCACAATAAATTATGGATAACACGGTGAAGAGTATTTCAGGATACTTCACTCTGTTCATGTGGAATCTGTACACAGACCAAGGGGCAATTGTTTGAGTAGAATACAGGCACACTGCACGGTTTAAAACTCAGGAAAGGTTTGTGTCTCGTTTATATCCTTTTGCCATACTTATTCAATCTGTGTAATCCAAAGAGGTTGGACTATGTGAAGAACATAGCATCAGGATTGGAGGAACAACTTACCATATACAAATGACTGAGTCTTGCTTCCTGAAGAGAACTGGGAGCATTTACAAATGAAGATCAAAGCCTCCAGTATGGATTACACCTCAACAGAAAGAAAACAACAATCCTCACATTGCAGCAATAAGGAAATTCATGATAGATGGAGAAAAAGTTGAAGTAGTCACAGATTTCATTTTACTTGGACCCACCACAATCAATGCCCATAGAAGTAACAGTCAAGAAATCAAACAATATTGCACTGGGCAAATCAGACCTCTTTAAAGTGTTAGAAAGCAAAAGTGTCACCTGACCCAACACATGGTATTTTCACTTGTTTCATATGCCTGCAAAGCTGGACAATGAATAAGAAAGACCAAAGAAGAATTGATGCTTTTGAATTATGATGTCAGCAAAGAACACCGACCAACTACACAAGTACACTGCCATAAGAACAAACCAATCTGTCTTGGGAGAACTAATGCCAGAACATTCCTGAAACGCAAGGATGGCCAAGAAAATGGTCTTACGTACTTGAAACACATTATTAGGAGGGACCAGTCCCTGGAGAGGAACATCATGCTTGGTAAAGGAAAGCAAAAAAGAAGACGATTTTCAACAAGATGCATTGACACAGTGGCTGCAACAATTGGGAGGATGGCACAGGACTGGGCAGTGTTTCCTTCTGTTATGCATAGGGTCCTATGAGTTGGAACTGACTTGATGACATCTAGCCACCACGACCACCTTTTCCTGGAGCTATGTATACGCTACAAGAAAAATTACATGCCTTTCAGTATTTTTCAGTTGTTTTAATTAATTTATGATTGAATTTTGAAAGTCAAGTCAAAAATCTTAGGCTTTTTTCCTTCTTTTTTTGTACAAAAATATCACAGCAAGATAAGCAAAGAAGATAAGGAAAGGATAGAGGAGATGATCATGGGACCGGAGAGTTTCAGGTCATCATGGCTATTTTAAGAAGAAATTGTAAACTTTGAAGCTTCTAAGGTTTTACTTCTCTTCAGGAAACCATGGATGAGGTTACCTTTCCCCAGGAACAGGAAATGAAAAGTCCCCTAAGCATGTGTGTCTAAAGAAGACAAGAAAGCGATAGTTTTCCTCCTAGAAAATGTTTCTCTATTAAAGCTGCTCGCCCACTTACACCGCTTTGCTCTCTCCCATCCCCCTTGTAGCTTCCTGGGATCAAAGAGAAAGAGAAAGCCAGGTTTCCATCAGCACAGGGAGCATCGTGGAGGTGGAAGCTGCTATCAGGGACTTTCTAACGCATTGGGACTCACTGGCAATGGGTCAAGCTCATCTAAATACATCAAGTTAAGGAGAGAAAAACAAACACCCTGAAACTGCCTTGCAGAAATTCTCCCGGCTGTGTCTGCACTCAACCACTATGGGGGAAAGAAATAATAATAAATACACAACATCTAAATTCTCACTCCGGGATGCTGCTCAGCCCTGACTGCACGCTCCCACCCCGTCACCTCTCTGCCCCACAGCACAGAAAGCCCAGTGGCCTCCTGGCCCACATTTGCATAGTTTTAATAATGTTGTCTGAGCTGCATGTATGGCCCGTTTCTGAGGAGCACTGGTCCAGCCTCCAGGAGTGTCTGCATCCAGAAACGGAGCCCCATCTTGCAGCAAGTTGTCCACGTTACTGAGAAACAAGCCCCTTCCTGAGGGAGAAGGCTCAGGCGGTTTTGTCTGTGACTTCAGACTTTGCTCTCTGCATCATACAGCGACGGACTATGCTGTCGAAGCTTCCGAGGTAAAACAGAGCAATAGTGCGGAAAAGGCCCATGGTCACCACCTGCGAGACAGAGAAAGGCCATTCAGCTCAGTCCAGCTCATTTGAGGCTAGGTGTCCACAGGACTCTCAGGACACATCTTTCAGTGTCTGAGTCTGAGGGAGACTCTAAGTGTCAGTGAAATACGTCAGTTCTGGACCATTGCATAGCACGTAGCCTGCCGAATGGAAGACAAAAAAAAGTGTACCCGATTAATAAATTCAAATGAGAAAATAAAGACAGGAGATGTTTCATCGTTTTAGAGTTTTAATAGCCAGGAAAGATCCACTCCTGTATCCTAAAGATCCAAACTGCAACCAAGGCTTTTTTGGTTCAAGGTTTATAATCTGAGCACAAAAATCAGAACCTATACCCCCAAACCAAACCCACAGCCAGTGAGTGGATTCAGACTCACGGCACCCATGGGACACAGCAGAACTTCTCCTGAGTGTTCCCCAGATTGTGGTCATCTGCCTGAGCCCCTACAGACAACCGTTTACCTCAGTACCCAGCAAGTAAGATGTCAGTCCCTTCTCAATTCCTGAAGTAACAGCTTTCACTTGCTCCCTCGTTATCTTTGGCAGAGAAAGATAAAAAGTTGATACTTCAATGATAATTCTCTGCATCCTCAAATACAATGTATACTCTCTCTTCAGCCTTTGTTCATGGAGACTTGACAACAGACAGCCTTTGTCCATCCATCTGTCCACCTGCCTATCTGTCTAATGGTTCAGGTAGCACTGACCTGCTGGAGTCCTTCAGTGATGGACGTCACTGGAGCCATCCCAGAGGTCAGAGATGAGAGCATGTAGCCGTCGGAGCCAATGGAACTGTTAAAATTTCCTTGCTGAAATGCAGAAGAAGAGAAAACAAAGGAATTACAGTAACATGGGAACCCACTCAACATACCAGACACACTGGCGTGAGCGCATTCACTCCACATAGGATAAGATGGTAGCCAGCACCCATCAGAACAAGGCCTTAGGAGATCGGTCCTCATAGCATGGGTCCACAGAACCCTGGGGCCCCTGAGGCCCTTTCAGGGGATCCCTGGGAATATAAAGCCATTGTCATAATTATATCAAGATGCTCGTTATCTTGTTCATTGCAGTGACATTGGCACCAAGGGGCAAACTGCCGGTGCATTTGCATGAGTCTCTATGGTGGCAAAACAGGCCCAAGGGGCAGCGATCTCCCCTTCACACGCACAGGCAGTAATACAGAAGCACACAAACAAAATCAAAGTGAGCCACTCTAAATAACCATTCACATGTCAGTTCTGCTTAAACCGCCCTTGGTAAAGCGTACCACTGACCACTCAATTCAAATTCAACCGTTAAGAACTTGCCTTCTCAACGCTCCGGGAGACCAAGTGCAAAGTGCACATCAAGAACTTGGGCTGCAAGGCATGTGGGAGGGAGAAGGTAGCCCTGAAGACGGCATTTGTCCCTGAACTAGCTGCTGCCTTCATGAGCACCATTTTCACAAAAGAGTTATTCAGACTCGGGAGTCAGCACGTTTTACAGAAAATGAATGAAAGGAACATGTTACTTCCAGGGCATCAGCTTATAGCATTTCATGATTATAAAATCCAAGCTTTCTGGCAGAAATTAAAAATTGTGAAAACTTGTACCCACTCCATCCTGAGTTTCTCTAAGCTTCCCAACACATACTTTCATGGTAAGATCAGCAGCGAAAACCATGAATGTGATTTTTTCCCCCCACATAACTTTGTGAACCCATATTTTTCACATCACTAATATATAGTGCCACAAAATCATGAATGGGTAAAACATCCAACCAAAGTGCAGGCCAGGCCAGTGGGTTTTACTATAATGGAGAAGAGACAGTTCACTGATGGGACTTTCAGCTCCATATTGCAACTAACCTTTTAGAAATGACTTTTGGTTGAGTTTTCATTTATATTGAAAGTGAACACTGACGATTATCTGAAAAGCCTAGGAAATAATCTCTCTCTTTTCCAACTGTGTATCTGTGTAAGGTCAGGTTGTCTTCTCCTCCTTAAATCAAAAGCACATATTACAGAGACTGAGTGAAACATCAGCTAGAGGAACTCAGCTGCCTTCTACGAATATAGCTATCACAGACACTGCGAAGGCAGCCTAAGTGTAAAACACTGCCACTTTCTCAGTAAATTTTGTTGTTGACAGCAACCACACGTGGTCACCATTTGTAACATTTGTCCCCACCCAGGGACCCTACTGAAATGTATACAGATGTGAAAACTGTCTCCTGATGGCATTAAAAGGAAGATGGCAAAGCCGGTTTGGGCAGGACTCTGGGTTTCCTGCTTATTTCAACTCAAAGCCAGCACATTCAGAGTTTTTAACAAGTCTAAGGATGGAGGTTCGAGTCCACCCAGCAGTACCTGGGAAGAAAGACCTGCAGTGTGATTCTCATAAACCTGTCATCAAGTAGTATGGGGTCCCTGAGTGGAGACAAATGGTTAACACACATGGCTGCTAACTAGAAGGTCAGCAGTTTGAATCCACTCTGAGGTACACCTCAGAAGAAATGCCTGGTGATGTCCTTTTGAAAAACCAGCTACGGAAAACCACGTACAGTGTAGTTCTTCTCTGACACACGTGGGGTCGCCCACGTTGGAATTACACTGAGACCAGCTGGAGGTGACAGACACCTTTCAAAAGAGTCTCTGAGAGTTCTTAGTTCTACTTAAGTCAGCCCAAAGCAACAGGACTAATGGAACAGAGTGTGCTGACTCTTTGTATTCTAGTTGTCCAAAAAGCTTTCTAAATTCAACGTGGGCCTATGATGTACAGATATCCCTCATGCATGTGTACACGATATCGCATTCTGTTTTCACCCCATTTTAAAGCCCCCTTGTATTTATTTCTGCTCATCAGAAAATGTGGTGCATATGTCATTGTTCTTAAAAAAAAATAACGCCTGGCTTCTAAATGCATCATTTAGATTCAAAGTAGTCCAGAAACATTGGCTACCCAAATTGCTGGGGGGGGGGGGGGTGGAGAGGAGACTAAAAAGGCAAGAAGTGACTGGCTTACAAGCTTTCAAGAGGGCACGGAGGAAAGTAGAATCTCCACTGAGTAATATCCAATCTATCTGGGCAGGGCTGATGAAAAGAGATGGGGATAGGACTCTTGTGGTACAACAGTGAATAACTGCTGTCAGGACTGACTGTGAGGGTTGGAAATGTAAAGTTAGATGTTTTGTAGCAAAAGGAGAGGAGTGGTTGACTTTACAGTCTAGGAGCTGAGGTCCCGGAACCATCAAGGGAGAAGAGCAGAGAGAGGGACCCTACCCAGAGAAGCAGTGATGCCTGAGATGGAGGCAGAGACGATGACGTGGAGAGATGGAGTGGCTGGGGACTCTAGACCCAGAGAGGGAGAGGCGCTGTGTGCTGAAGACCGGGGGGCAGGCTTGTAGGGTATACCCTTTGGTTGGTTGATGATGCATGGAGGGGATTGTAACCATGACAATGAAATAATATACGATAGGATGAATGTAAAGCTAATGCTCTCCCATGTAAACTATCATATAATTCATGACAAAATTTTTTAATAAAGAAAGCTTACATGCAGAGTTGACATGTGGATGGGCCCAGTGGACTGGCTGTATTTTTTCAATTAGCTACCAGTGGGAAAACAACAGTGGACACGTGGAAGAGGCAAGAACACTCCTCAGTCACAGAGCCTGATGATAAGGAATGAGACTTGTCCAAAAGTAAAAGCAGACAACATGCTGAATGTCGAACATAACATTCACTCATCCCAGACACATCTCACTTTCCTTGCAATGAGATGTACCTAAGTTCCCAGAAGGTTACGCTGCGAAAACTGATTCTGAGGTGGTTCAGTGCTGTTAATTCAGTTCTGACTCACAGCGACCCTGTATAGGGTTTCCAAGGAGTGGCTGGTGAGTTTGAACCACCGACCTTGCAGTTCAAACCAACCCTGTGGCCGCATGCTTATCCTCTGGTGCCACACCAGGGCTGAGGTTAAGATACATAATTAGTCTTCAGATGTTTACTAATTGATACTTAATCAAAAGTGGATCTAAGGGAAGAAGAGAGTTCAGTGTTACATACGATGAACTTAACTGGCCAGAAAACCATGAAAATGTATGTTTTGAAATAAGACCTTGGACAAATACCTTTTCAGAAACTGTTATTGTCGTGTTGTTATAGGTAGTGTGGCATCCGTTTGGCACACAATGGCCCTGCAGACTTTCTGAGGCTATCGATCTTCATGGGAGCAGAAATAGAAAGCCTCATCTTTCTCCCGCGGAGTGGCTGGTGGGTTTGAACTGCCAATGTTATGGTTAGCAGTCCAGAGCTTATTCAAGAGCTCCACCATTGCTCCAAGTAGTACTAAAGCCATCAACAGAAAACACACAACAAGGATGTTACTTACTATGGCGTCTTTAACGATTTGTTTGGCCACCTGCTCCGGTTTGCAGACAGACGTGGTCTCTGAAATCAGTCGAGTCTCCAAAGGCTTAAAAGGAAAAAGGTATACATGTCAATACTATTACTGCCTGTTACATAGAAAACCCACCTCTCTTCCAGCCTCTCTGCCACTGTGCAGGTCCTTGGTTTTAGAATAAGGTCCGTCTGGATTCAAATAGGCATCTATTTGGTCACTGCGTATAAAATTTGGCCCAGTGACCTCAAGGGAGACAAGGATGTCCTGGCACCTTCTGTAGGACACGTGGGTCTCTCAGCTTTACCAAGAACCATCCCAAGGAGAACATAGCAATGGACACGAGGTAGCATGCCCCTCTTTGGACCCTCCCTGCTGGCCAGTTAGCCAACTGGTAGTGTTTGTGCAGAGTCTGGACTGCACGTCCTGAGAGGTATGTATCCGTGACCCCCTCACTGGGCAGCAGAGAGTCACTGCCTGTGGACAGAGCCAAGGACCTGTGAAAGAAGACCCACTGTGTCCTGGGGACCTGCAGAGCAGGAGGAGAATGGGAACCTGAGAGGGGCAGCTTGGGATAAAGCACTACGTGGTATCTTACGTGGCTGTGTGGGAGTCCTGGGGGATGTGAACCGTTA